TTCCCCAATTTGAACCGCTTTGTGGGTATTGATCTCTTAACTTTAATAGGTGATCGTGGAATTGTTTCCATTCTGAGCTTCTTTAGATCCTAGGGGTTTGATTGCCCTGCGTCGTGGGAGGCGAGTTCTGATTTTTAGTCTGTGACGTCATATGAAGAGCATCGTTTAAGTTCCCAGTTTCATAGCTGTTTTCTCACTGCACTCATTTGATCTCCACGCTCTTGATCGTGCCTACGTGACCTTTGCGAGGACACACAAACGGACATACAAACGGACACACAAAGTTAGCGGTTCATATATATAGAGGATATATACAGGGTGTCCCAAAATTATTGGCGCTGCTTTATAGCAATATATTTCAAACTTCTCAGCTGCGAAAGACAATGAAATCTCTATGCACGTTAGCCAACACTATGTGCTACAACATGCTATAGTTGCATTTCAAAATGTCCCCCACGAGCGCGGATAGAAGCCAAAGTTTGTTCTCGACTTGATCGCATGTGGCACGCTGGTTCTCCATTGCTTCCCTGCCGTTCTTCAGTCTTTGCATTCTAGAAGTCCAAACTGGGACTGCAAACTCAAAAGGCCCTCTTCTAACCAGGGACCAGTCGTGGGGTCAAGTGAGTCGAGTTCTGGAAAATAGGATGACCACCCTCTTCACCAATGAAGCCGGGCAGCTGTCGTCGGCACCACTCGCGAGCAAGCTTGGGTCTGTGGGCTGGAGAAGCGTCCTGCTGGAGGGACTACGAGATGTTTCAGAAAACGTATTCGGATCAATGTTTCATATACTTCCATCAGTACNACTCTGGGACACCCTGTATATATGTATATATGTATGTATATATACATATATATATGTCCCAAAAGTTTTGCAAAAATTTATTTGGTTTATTCAACACAAAAATACTACAACGAAAAGACGAGATCAGTATTCGAGATAGTGGCCCTCTTTAGCCACGACGTCCCTCCATCGACTGGGCAGAGCACTGATGTCATTCATCCAGAAAGAAGAAGGGCGTGAAGCGTTGCATTCATCTATTGGGTTGTCCAGAAAATAATGCGACACTAACAACACAAAATTTACATCGTTTTTTATACAATAAAAGACAAGTTCAATCAGTGATATAGTCGCCGTTATTATCGATGACGTTCATCCATTTCACTGGCAGTTTGTCGATCCCACTTCTCCAGAAATCAGCTGATTGCGTGCTGAAGAAGTTGCCCACCTCCATTTCGAGTTGCTCCTGATTATCGAAATTCTTATCTCGTAGGTGCCGCTTCAAGGCTCGGAACAAGTGATAGTCGGAAGGGGCTAGATCAGGAGAGTACGGTGGATGGGGTAGTGCTTCCCAACCTAGCTGCTGAATTTTCTGACGCGTCATCGTTGCCACGTGGGGGCGAGCGTTGTCGTGCAGGAGATAGGTTTCCAGTCGTTTTGGATAATTGTGAAGGATTGCATAGGCCACTTTCTGTAGCTGGTTAGAGTACGTCGTCGCCGTCACAGTAGTGCCACTTTCAAGAAATTCGCGGTAGAGCATCCCATCACAATTCCACCAACAACATAGGAGAATCTTCTCCTGTTGCAAACCACGTTTCGATTGCTTCGGTGGCA